TATATATTGCATATATATTGTATATATGTATATTGTATATATCGGTATATATTTTTAGCGTCCAGTGACCCAGTTGTTGGATATGCGGTTTGTGTAATTTTTGGTTAGTTGCCGCTTGCCTCGCAAACGCCCTTTAAAGATGGGAGTGCCATGCAGTCGTATAAATGTAACGGCGCACGCGGCGTATGCGCAATGACAAACACTGTCCAGACCAACCCACAAGGCGCGTTCATTGTGCTACAACAACAACAACAAAGACGACGACGACGACGACGACGACAGCTCAGCCGGAACTTTGAGAGCAGCAGCTACAAAACAAAAACAATAACAATAATAATAACTAAGCAGACACAATGTGCGCTATCTGGCCGAGTTCGGACTGGGGCTGGGACCGGGCCTGGGACTGGCGCTGCCAGTGTCTGTGTTAGAGACTCGGATGCGGGTGGCTGTTGGGGTTCGGGTGCGGGGTGCGAGTGCGAGTGCGGGCTTAGCTGGCTGCTTGCAGCTACCGCCGAAAGCGAAACAGCTTTGCTTTTGTTTCAGTGTATTTATTGTTGTTTGTTCATGATGCCGCTGAACTTGAACCGGCCGCGTTCAAGGCCGGCCGTATGTGCTGTATGTGAGTGCACAGTGTGTACACACCGCGAATCGGGTATTATAGCTTACTCAAGCAGCTTGTTAGCCAAGTTGAAGAACTTCCCAATCATATGTCTAACCGTTTTTGTCTTTATCTAATTTAAAATGGAAGAAGTTTCCATTGATCTGGCGCCACTGTGCGTTATTGGAAGTAAGGTTGACAGATATTCAAAAAATGCACTCACATACAATGCAGTGCATACAAATTGCGACTAATTCGCATTTGTTTTCTCGCCGAGCAATAATCAACAGTTAAAATTTAAAACAATGCAAAAATTTGGCAACACCGCGCAGGTAAGAAAGAGAAAAAAATGCTTAAGTAATCAGTCAAGCTGGTAGCTGGTTTCGACGATTGCCAAAATCCTGACGCAATCGGGCAACATTTTGCGCAAAGCACTCGAAACGCGACGACTTAAACGACTCCGACTTAGGCCTAATCCTAATCCCACGACGCGACGACCACATTGACGCAATCGACGCGCTGATCCGTTGCATCTAACACCTAGACAAGAATAACAATAACCCAGAGACCAGCTGCCAGAATCTGGTGAAGGTGATCCAGTGTTTGGTGCGGATCAGTGAGTGCTAATTGGTCTTAGGCCCAGACAGCCGAGTCCCCGATCATGCGGCCGGCTGACGCATCTAGATGTTGCAAAATGTTGCCGCATCATCGGCGCTCATAAACTAATCCGTTGCCAGGCAGTTGGATGGCTTTATCTTGAACACGAAACTCCCAGAATCGAGCAAGTGGAACTTGCGAGCTCGACACGGTCAATCCTCTAAGCACCATGTGCGACTCATTAGGCCAACTCTCAATTGATTTCGGCACGTTCTGCTTTTCAGCATCGACGCGTCGTCGTTTAAAATGTGCTAATCGATTTATAGTGCATTTCATTATCATCCCGCATGCCCGATCGTATTTTCATGGCGCTGAAATTTTCCACTCAATAACTCGGCCGCTGGCGCGTGCGGTCGCTTGTCGCTCGCCGATTCGAGATTGCATGAAAATTTATACACACACAAAAAAAAAATACAAAAAAAAATTAAATAAATAAAATGTCAGCCACAAAACAAGTGACGTCACAGCCGCTGCCGCCGTCAAGTTTTGGCACACGCTAATTTCTGGTGTTAATCAAGCATTTAGAGAGATGTCGTTAGCGGGTTACGTGTCGGGCGGCAGGCAGCCCCTGCCTATGCCTATTCCGGTGCCTACGCCTGTGACTGGGTATCGACTAGTTGCTATTGCTAGTGGGTTAGTGGTATGCGCTCATTTCCGGCCGCTGTCATAGCCAATTGGCCCGCCACTTGCCATTTGATTGATTGCCCAAAAAAAAAGCTCTGATTGCTAGCAATACATACACAGGTGTCGTCATCCGAATTGTATTCGCCATTAGTCACATTCGATATGCACATTGGCGGCGGTGCGCAGTTACATGTAAACAGCCCACAGTCAAGCTCCGAGTCTCTCACCCAACAGGCAACAGGTTAATGCCTCGGTATTTCCCCAATTATTTTCAAAAACTTGCTCAGGTCCTAACCCCCAACCGAGCCTATTAATCTTTGGAATATGCATGTCCAGCTACTTTTACTTTCAAAGCCAGGAGGAGCACACAAATCTTTGGTATGCCAAAGATTAAACACCCTTCCCCGATATACTTCTATACTTAGTTTCTTTCTTTCTCTTTCCAAAACTTAACCGATTGCTTCTATGGGCTCTTTATGATATTGTAATCCGATGTTGATAAGACTTTGCCCCTAGAGCATTTAAAAGTTGCCTAAAAACCGACAAACAAATGAATAAACAAAGTTATGTTGACTAAACCCTTTGCCACGATCCAGAATATGTGTACACAAACGAACCAGTTCCAGCTTGGAACCTAACCTTAAAACAAACCAGTTAAAAACATGTCGGGATGACTTAAACGTAAACATGTATTACTTGGGGCCTTTAGATCTGCTTAATCATTTTTGTTAGATAAAAATTTAAAAGGGTAGAGATGAAATTTAGGCCGCAAGTTCTCTTTGAAAATATTTACTGCTTACAATATTTTCAGTAGAAAGGGCAATACGAAATTAATAGCGGATATGTTTAATTAAAAATTTGTTAAATATATTACTAACCAAGATTTGAACCGAATTTTGAGGAGCACAAAATTCACGAACTAAATCCTGAGGCAGTGAGTTGGTTCGCTCCGTGAACCGAACCAACACAAATTTTACTTGGTGTTGGTTCCAACCGTGAACCGAACCAACGGCAATTTTACCTTATCTTCGCAGCTCTGGTTTACACTTATTCAAATATGTCTCCCTTAACGCATTACAAATTTCGTGTCATAACTAAAATACTCTAGGCAAGGGTATATAATTGTGGTACATAAATCTTCAACTATTTAGAGACTTATGGAAATATACTCTAATTTTTTTCGTATTGTCAACCGCCTGCTTTGATTTGTATTCTATTTAATCTGTGCACTATTAATGCACTCTACTGACCTAGACAACCTGTAGAATAGACTTGTTTACTTACTAAGCTTTTAAAGCACAAATTTCCCACACCATAAGTCACATCGTAAAGCGTCGAACTCGATCCCAACCCCCATTTGAACCGCGTTGGATATGAACATTTTATCTAAGGGCTCGCTTTCAAATTATATAGTCATATAGCAAAAATGTTAAGAGAAAAAGAAAAACAAACAAATGGAGTTCGACTGGGAGATGCCTTGTAAATTCTGTAATAAAAACATTCCACTTATTATTCGATTCATAGGCCCAAGAATTCACAGCTCTGCCTAGCCATTATATGTGCACGGGTTATCAAAAATATAGCCTGCTGCTAAGTCCAAAAGTAATGCCAAACTAAGGAGCACGCGGCTTGACATGCGCCTGCCAAAATTGTAATTGATGGCAGCAAAAACAAAGGCCGCGTGCCTACTTTATATATAATATAAAATATGCTGGCCAGCATGGAAACCGAACGACAACTAAATACACTACAAGACCTGATACAGTAATAAATAAAATATGTATAATTTGTATTGATTAGCTTGTCGCCAAAGTTTCGATTCGAGTGCATAAATCACAAAAAAAAAAAAGAAAAGTTAATTCGAAGTTGGCTAGTCACGTTTAAAGGCAACGCGAGCCTAGTCATAAGGCCGAAGCGCATATATGTAAACAATATATATATATATATATGTATATATATTTATTATTTTTTTTGGCTTGCTTGGGGCTGTGCCCTGAAGCTGGGGACAGCGCGATCGGGTCCAGCCTTTCGCACGCTCTAAATAGCAGAGTCAACAAAGAGCAGCAAATAGCATTTCGTGGAAAAGGCAGAGTCGCGCCTGATACATATGAAGCTGGCGCCGCACACGGCACGGATCGACACGGGCCACAGACCACAGATTAGTGCGGCAATCGATCGATCAATGCTGTAATAAGCAAGCGGTGTGGGGCACTGGCCCGGCCACTAGATGGCCAAAAACAATTTACAAAGCGAACTCCCCCGCAAACCGCAACTAACACAGCCCAACTGTTTGCTACATATTAACACATTTTGGCCAGAGGCGGTGCGGATGAGTGCGGATCACGACGCCTCCCAGCATACTGCTGGGCGGTAAACAGTTGGGTAAACAGTGCCGCACGCTGCAATGGAATATTCCCACAGTTCCCCACAAACAACTGACGCGCTGCTGTTTGATTTCAATCAAAAAAGGAAAACAAGTATTTTGCAGTCGAGTGCAACCGACTGCGTTATGCCCGTTCATACTCCAACAACAGTTGAGCCGCCCAATCACTATTCAAATATATCGATAATATCGATATTTTCTTATCGATTTCTAGCTTATCTGTAGTCTTTATATCAATTGTAAGTCTAGCTCTACAACTGATTAAGTTGATTTGCTCGATATGCCACGCCCCTGTGGCCCCTTTTATATATCCACAGAGGAGCTCATGAGTAGTTCCCAGTTTAGTTCAAAGTCTCTACGGACAGACAATGCAAAAGCCCATATACCCGTTTCCCTCAATGAACGGGCATTAATATACGCCGCGCAAATAAATCAGAAAAAAATGTGCCAAGTCAACAATAACAAAACTGGTAAACGCCGTGCCAAATTGCAAATTGTGGACCGTTTTGCAGAACTGCAAAAGCCGTAAACCCCATTTGTATCCAAGTCGGATCGACTTAGTGCTAATTTCCGCCGTGGAGTGGGCGTGACCGGCGAGCTGAGCTGATCAGGGCACAAATGTCGCCGGCAACGGGCAACCTAGGGTGCTAATCAGCTATATAAATTTATATATTTATATATATCATTGTCAGCGCTTAATTGATTTGGTGTAAATCATGGAAAATTTTGCCCACTTACCGTGCTGGACTTTTCCTTTGGCGCACTTGGACTCGAATCTGCTGAGGTAGCGCAAGACTTGTCTAATCGTTGTGTGTGGTCACCATTAACAGCTGGTTAAACATTTAAAGCCCTGTATATCACTTGCGGCACTTTTTTTGGAGCACCCGTCAAATTAATTGCGACGCGCTGCGGGAGAACTTACACTTGAAACACTTACACTTATCGCAGGCACTTACTGCAATTGCATTTTGATAAGCACATTTGCTGAATATTGCACTCAACACGCGAAATTGACGTTATTGGGCTAAGCACGGCAAATACGACACTTTTAATTTGATTTTACAAAGCGCAACTAAACAAATTACTTTTTACGCGTCAACAACTTTTGGCGGCAATAAGCTGTTGTTGTTGCCAGCTGTTCTAACTTTTGGCGCAGGGTCACTTTGTTGTCGTGTGGTGGTCACACCGCCCACGCAACAAATGGGCAACCTTGGCTGCAATCAACTCTGTCTTCAAGCGCACTTGCGCCAATTTGAGTTAGATTTACAGTTTGATTAATTGAAAAATGAAAACTCTATAGAAATGTAATATATGTATATTTTTTCGTATATTGGGCTGCGTTAAACGCACAACTGTAGTGCAAATTGCAATTTTCATGCCATTGTCTGCATACCAGCAGTGCCAGTCAGCGTGTCGTCTGGTTCTGCTTCTGATTCTGCTCGTCGTGCCGGCTGCTGCTTGGCAATTGGTGCCGCCAAAAAAATTAGTTCCAGTTGCGCACAAATGAAATTGAAACTTCATAAACAAGATTCGACTGTGCACATACATACATATGTATATGTAAAGCAGCTCCACTATATGTACTTCATGGCGCTCCCATTTAGGCAGACTCCAGACTGAGGCTCTGAGATTAAAAAAACAACACTTGGAATGCAGGCAACGCAGTTGTCACGTTTTGCTCTGGCAAATGACCCCATCCCAAGGAAGGGGAGGAGAAATTGTTGTTGTTGTTGCCAGCGGCATCGGGTAGCATTCAATGGAATCGCTGGCCATGTTTATAATGAGCTGTGTGGCATGCGGCATTTCATTCATAGAAATTCAAGACGCACTCACATGACTGAACCACTAAAATTCGTGGAACCTGCGCTGCTGATAAGGAAACATTTTCGTTCGAGTTGAAAGTTTGAAATGCGCAAAAATCAAAAAATCAGTTGAATGAACTGCTTGGCAAATATAGATTTTTGGCCATTTTGCGATTGCTAATCGAACGTAGACAAAACTGTTCGTCCGTCCATCCGTCCCTCCGTCCGTTTGTCTATTCACTTCCAGTTGGCAATGTCAAATGCGAGCCAAGTTTAATGACTTCGACAAAACAAAAACTGTTGACTGCTCTTGACACCCGCTACCAGCTACAATAACAATTACTTGGCTAAAACTGCGCTTGGCTTGTTTGCTTTTTGGTTTATTGAACTCGTTTTTTGACTTTTGATTAGAGGCGTTTAGTGGTTGCTTTTTGCATACGAATTTAATAGGAAATATGAGCTACAAATAAATTATGAATAGTTCACGGTTCTAGAATTTAACACTCTTCTTGTTCTAGCCAAAAAAAAAAACATATAGTTTCAAGCTGTGCAAACCCTCAACCGCAACAAAAACAAAACTAGGTTCAAACACATAAACATGCCCGAAAACCTGCCCTCAAGGTCGCCTATCGTCAACGTCGGTATTTGTTATTGTTTTTATAATAAATATACACACATACATACATATGTATCTATAGATATATAGACGTGCTTGGCATAGCCATAAGTCGGGGCTGTGGCTGTATTTCCCTGACTTTGACATTCAACTCGCTGGCAGCAGTTCATGTGGCACTTGAGGCGCTGCCAAGGTCACCCAAGCTCGATACCACAAATGGGCCGAGTACTAACCTAAGCCATTTGTTCACCCAGTTACAGTTTTTTTTTTTTACTAATCGGCCGTTTCGGACTGCGCCATAAAAGTGGCCTGTTAGGCGGGAAAAATAAATATATGTACATATATGTATATGTATATATTTACACAGCCTATCGAGCTAGAGAGCTGATAGTAAGCAGCATGTCATGTCGGGCTAGTTTCTGGCTGGTTTTATTTGCTTAAAAGCTTACACGACCATCGCGTATCACCTTGTGCCGCACGTGACCGGAGCGACCGGAGACCCGGCGGCCACCTCAACCAACTTCAGGGCAAAGAATATCGCTCCCAACGAAGCGAGCAACCGGATCGCTTAAGCTATGGCGACGTTGACAATAACAACGGTGCTTCTCCATATATACATATATATATATATATACTATATATACCATATATATTTATATATATTTATAGGAATGCATATCTTTCGAATCTAGCATCCGCTGTCTGCCAAACGCCCTGTCCCGTTATCGTTTGCAATTTGATTTGCATTGTTTTTCGATTTGGTTCTGCTCCCCTTTATATTTTTTCAATTTTATACATATATATTTTATATATATTATTTTGTTGATTTGCCGCATTCACTTACGGACTTAAAAATGCATCGCAACGCAAAATAACCCATATACTACACACACACACACACACACACACATAGCTACACATTTATTAGCTTTTAAATATAGTAATTTATTTTTGGAAGTAAAATAATAATAATACCAACAGAAGAAAAAACAAAACATCGCACAAATCACGTTTTTTGTCACGCGCAAAATGCGAAATTGCGGTTTGCGCTCTTCGCTTTCGGAGCACATTTCCAAAATGTGGCGCAGTTGGGGACGTGTGCGGCTTGGGTGGCTATAAATGGACTCAACTTGAAGATCACTTGAATGCTGCCAACAGATTTACACACAATTCTTAATAACAAGAACTCTAATTATTAATTTTTGAGAATTTGAGGCCAACCTAATCAAAAACAAAAGGGCAGCACTGTACGGCAACAGATTAACTAGTGTTTGGCAGCACTAAACGGACACTATCCTGCAAAAGTGCTACCCATTTGCCTTTCATATGTCTATTGTTTTGATAAGTTTCTGTAATGTGCTGCCCAAATATTTATTCATATTTAATAAATTAAGTTACTTGTGTTTGGCAGCACTAAGCGGACACTGTACGGCAAAGTGCTGCCAATTTGTTTTGATATACAATGTTTCCGTAAAGTGCTTCCTATATAACAATTGGAATGCTGTCAAATTCGAATTCTTATTTAATTACTGAATTAACTAGAGTTTGCCTGCACTATTTGGACTCGAAAAGTGCTGCATTTTATATGACCATTGTTTTGATATACAGTCAATCTGTCAAATACTTTAATTCTTATTTAATCACTTAATTATCTACTGTTTGGCATCACTTAAATAAATATATATACACTGTTTCCGTAGAGTGCTGCCTATATAACAATTGGAAAGCTTTCAAATTGTGTTTATGAGAATCCTTATTAATATTGGTTTTTCGTATTCTTCCCTAGATTGACATATGCAACTTGCCTTAATAGATTCTTAATACTAAACCTAACATAATCGATGATTCAGTCTCAAATTGATGCCTCAGGTTTGCGGTTTTTAGTGTGATTTTATCAAATTTCTTGGAGCTTAGAAAAGACTTTTTGAACTACTTTTGTTTATATGTAAATAAATACGCTTTAAAGTTAGCTACAGCTGAAGTGCTGCCAAGTCTGACGCATATAGTTTTAAGGCAGTTAAGTTTTTGACCTTTCGTGTGACTAACTCAAGTGCAATCTATTTGGACTCAAAAATTAATCATACAATTGCGATATCTGGTGAAAGACAAAGACATTTTGAAATAAGTATCACATTGAATTACACAATTTTTCAACTCATATTATCTTTTGAATTTGTTTTGGACTTTTGTCGAGCGGTCGACTCCTTTATGGGCCGCACGGCTTTTTGCACATCTCAGACCCGGCGACGCTCTTCCCAACACAATCTAGATAGCTGGTTGCAGTAAACAAGTTGGTCAATATATGTATGAATGCAGCTATATATGTGTATATAAATAGGAGGGCAGTCGGCTTGGACCAGATGAAACTTAATGAGTCTGCGCTTGTTTATTTGCTTTGTGCATTTGATTCATGAAAAACAAAATTCCGCTTTTGAGTCAACGATATGAACATATATCGTCTCATATTATCAGCATGATTTAGCACTAATGAAAAGTACTTTTTTTTTTTTGTTTTCATTTTTTGCTTTTGCTCTGGACTCGCCCTCCATTGCAGCAGACTTGGCGGAAACTTTTGCCGCGAGCATATGACGCCTAATTGCAGGGTATTATCGTAGATTAGAAAACCCGCTGACTTTTTTTATAGACAACTAAAGTCCACTTTGTGACTAGCTGCCAGCTAGTTTCTGCAAGTTTATTGTACATTGTACTTAAGTAATGGAATATTACAGTGGCTGTCCCTAATTGTTTTACAGCGAGCAGTGAGATAGAGAGGGGGGGGGGGAGAGAGGTAGACTCATATTTGATTAACATGAACAACATCTTTGTTGAATGTGATTCTCACATCATCACGAGCTAAAACTGGATGCTGTGCATCATTGCAAATATCTGATGCAAGTTCTTATAATAATACCTCTTATCCTAATCTTTAATTTTGTTTAACCTAATTGGAGCAGTCGCTGAGTTAGTCATAGAACTGGCGTCAAGGTTCTACTTAGGAAAAAACTATACTAACATATATATATATATATATATATATTTGTATGCCCACAAAAAACCTTAAGTAAATTCCTGAGTCTTCCGATTCACATGACGCTGCGCTAAATTTCTGCTGAAATGTCTTGAAATTCAAGTGCAAGTTATTTTTCAATTATTTGGCGAAGTAAACAAATATATCATCATGTTTCAAAAGCATTTGATAACTTTATGTGAACCAAATATTTTATTATTCTGCTTAAAAAAAGAAAGGAAAAAACTTTTGGCTGATTATATTGCAAAATATTTTGAAATTTTAGCTAAAGCAGCGGGCATGATTTATACGTATACGACATGAGGCCGTTTCAAGTACGCAGAGATATGCGTATGAAATCATCAGAAACAAAAAAAGAAACAGCAAAAAAGTACAAAGAGCACATTTATCACAATATTGCGATCGTAATTCTCTGGGCCAAGCCCCGTTGTATGGCAGGAACTCCAAGCCAGACCAAATTTTTAATTTGCGCAAATAGTTCGCACCTGCTGCTTTTCTTTAAATGGTTCCACGCTGTCTCCGGCGTTTTACAACACAGTTCTTTTTATGGGGCTCTGTTCGGGTTTTTAGACCTTTCCAATCAAAGAAGAAGAAAACACTTTGTGCGTATTTAATTTTTAGTACGATTTTTTGTTATATATTTTATTCTTTTTTAGTAGTTTGTTTTTCAACTGTTTGATTTTGTTTTTCCGTTTTCTTTTTTTGAAAAATTCTTGTTTTTTGCATTTTCTTAGACGCTCATTATGTTCACTATATCACGTGGTCTTACAAATAGATCGCTATACATGTATGTATGTGTGTATATATATATACTTTCTTTAGCTTACAGACAATAGAAAAACCCTAAGCGGCTTAGCAAATATACTATATATACGTGAAACTATATTTAAATGGAGAGATATAAGGTATTATTATATAAATTAAAGTTAAGTTTTTGTCAAAACTAATTTTGACTTTAAACACAAACGCTTTGTGGAAGACTTTGAAGATTTCATTGCTGTGTGTGTGTGTGTGTGTGTGATAGTGTGTGTGTGTGTGTGTGTAGCGTGAAATTCTAAAACAAAATTCTAATACATGATTCATGAGGCAATTCAACACCAAGTACTTGGACTGAGGTAGTTTGGCGATATGCAGAATACCATTTGAGAAATGAATTCACAATAATAATATAATAATAAATAAATTATAACAATTTGTGTGTGTGTGTGTGAGAGAGTGGGTATTGATGAGTGTCTCCATCTCGTGGGGCATTTTCCAATGGAAAATGGACTTGACGAGATTTCAACAAAATAGGAGTCTCGCATGCTCGGAACACTTCAAAGCAACATTTGCGTTATCCTGGCGAAATGTGGTGAAATGTCAATTGCGCAATGCTCTCAACGCCTGCGCAAGTGTGTGTGAGTGTGCGTGTGTGTGTGCGTGTGTGTGTGCGTGTGCGTGTGTGTGTGCGACGCCCATCAGTCTTTAAAGCGGTTGGCGGGTTGGCGGGAGGAGATTCAAAACTGAACCCAATCTAAGAGAGACAGAGAGAGAGAGAGAGAGAGCGCCTGGCTCATTTACCAGGGCCGCCAGGGCTGCTCCTCCTCCACCTTGATCTGCTTCTTGATGACCAGCGAGAGCGGCTGCTGCTCCAAATGCAAATGCGGCACACGCTGTATAACCGAGGGCTTCACATCCATCGGCTCGTACGCGGAGTTGGCGGGACTGGGCGGCGCATAGCTGCCTCTGCTGCTGCTGCTGCTTGGCGCCGACTCGTAACCGGCCGAGGAGTGCGAGCTGGCGGAACCGGTGCTGGCCGTGCGCTGCGGCATCGACACAAGCAGCGGCGATTGCTGATGCTGTGCCACTGCCGCAGCGGCGGC